AAAGGAATAAACATCTTGATTTACAAGTAAAACAGAATCTTGTATTGACGTGCTTGTTAATTCATTATAATAAAGGTGTGAAATGGCACTAAGTAATGTTGTGAAATCATCCAAAGCGCCAATTATAAACATGCAAACAATATCAGACCTCACACGTTTCAACATTTTACAGCTGCTTTACACAAAACTAAAAGTAGACTTACATCTTGGCGCATCGGTGCAGTGTGCACGCTCTTATTTGATTCTACTACAGCTGGAAATTTGATCTCTCCATGCTCATGCTGATAATTTCAAATCTTGAAGAATGAAACACACAGATATGTATACTAATTGCACAAACTCCTCTACAGTATCTCACTGTTCCTCTAGAACAAAAAGATTATTGCTATTCTGCATATATTGACTCACACCTGTCATCAGTTTTATTACATAAAACAGAAAATCAATTTTCTTTATAAGGTTTTCTAACAAGAACACCAAAAATGTGACTGCTGCAAATTCCGTTTGAATAGATTGCTTGACTTAGTTTTTATTTTCTTGTTTTTCTGAGGTCTAATGTTTCAAATTGGGCGCTCTCCAAAAAAGCCCAACAGGAACTTCACTGAATAAAGTTTAGCTCTTATCATACAATGGAATCTCTCTCTCTATCTTTAACAGAAATGCATAACGAAGCAGATCCAAAACAAAGCAGGTTACACACAACCATCTCTGTCAGCTGCTTGAGCAAGTACTTACATGATGTGTTAACATGAAAGCCTGTTAACTTAGTGTAACTATTTAAAAGTATATATTTTCTCTGTCTTAACATGTTGAATAGAGAAATACACGCTACAATCTAAAGGTGTAAATAATATGTATAATCAATAGTTTTTATACTTTAGTATGGAAAATCCTCAGTTATTAGGACAACATGAAATTCAAAACCAAATAGAAAGCCAGAGCACACAATTTGAACACAAAACCCATCTGCCATAATATTTTTATAGGACAAAAACAGAAACAGCATTCTTTCACAGTCTGACCAGTTAAACTAATCTAGTTAAGATAAAATACAAATAAAATGAAAAATCCTCAACTGTGAGTAAACAAAAGTAATAATAAAACAATTGGCATTGTCTCTAAAATGTCTACACTTTTGTCATGTCAATAGCTTTCCTAGATTTTAGAAGATGAATTTCTAGTACAGTTAATTTCAAACAGCAGCGGAAGGAAATGACAATTCTAGAAGTATTTTAGTTACAGAACTCCATGCATTTCTTCTCAACCAGACAGCGTGCAGCAGTTTGAAATCAGACTTATTTTTATATTTAGTTAACCTACAAAGCTCTCAACAACCTAGCTCCATCTTACATTAGATATCTTGTTGTTCTATATTTTCCAAACAGCGCACTTCGCTTTCAGACTGCAGGCTTACTCGCGGTTCCTAGAGTTCCCAAAAGCAGAATGGGAGGAAGAGCTTTCAGTTATCAGGCTCCTCTCTTGTGGAACCAACAGTTTCTGTCCGTGAGGCTGACACATTGTCCAGATTTAAGACTGGGCTTAAGATTTTCCTTTTTGATAAATCATATAGTTAGGGTTGGCTTGTTATGCTGCTATAGGCTTAGATTACTGGAGGACAAATTGTCCTCATTTCTTAAAATGAACTGTTGCAATTGAATAGTTTTCCATTTATATTATTTCTAACTTAACATATGATTCTTGACCTGCCATTGTGTATCTGGTCTTCCTTCCTGTCCTCTCAAACCCAGCCCGTTGAAGCAGATGGCTGCTTGTCCTGAGCCTGGTTCTGCAAAAGGTTTCTTCCTCATGAGGGAGTTTTTCCTTTCCACTATTTACTTCATGTTTGCTCAAGATGAGAGTCTGTGATGAAATTAAACTCAAAGCAGTCTGCTCCTCAGATAAATAATGTTACTGACTTATTTTATTTATATATTAATGTTTCTCTACAGTGCCCTGAGATGACTTCTGTTGTGACTTAGCACTATAAAAATAAATTGAATTGAATTTAATTGAATAAAATCAGAACAATAACAGCAGTTCAAGCTGCTTCTCTTTACAATAGCCAATAGAATTAGGACAATAACGAACTGGAAGCAAAAAGGTGTGTTTGTCATCAGAGCCCCCTTTTTCCTGCAAACCAAAGCTTGCGTGAGCAGAACACATCATATCACTGTTGTATAAAAGTCAAAGTACATGTTAGTGAGGTTAAGTGAACCACTTAGAGAGGGTAAATACAGAGGTACTTTTATTTTGACATTTACTGGTACTTGTCTATAATAAACAGCCATTAAGGGCATATCCAGGTAATTGAGGACAAAAGCTTCAGCACAGAAGAGCACTTTGGCCTCTTTTTTTAGACAGGCAGGAATTTATGATTAATTGTCTTCAACTGGTAGATTCTTGTCCCTTTCCGATTTTCTTCTCCTCTCGCTTCCTCTGTCTGTTTTTGCCTCATTCCCATTTTTCCATTCATTTACAGAGTTACTGAAAAACACGTATAGTCATAAATGTAATGAAATTATAAAACAGCATATTTTTTTTAACTACAAGATTCATCAACATAAATAAGAGTCCATTGATTAAAATAGTATAAGGAACAAAAATAGTTTTTGTTTTAAAATACACCTATTTCTGTCTTTTTAGGAAGCTTCCTATTCTTGCTATAGAAGTTGTTAGACGATAAAAACACTTGAACTTGCTTTTTAAAAAGAACATGGACTAGTTCACATTTTGAATGTAAATTCACAAAGAGAAAACTGTGATTCTACTGATTGGTTTAACAACGCAAGTAAAATACATTTTAAAAAATCTACTTTTATTTTCTGTGTATCAAAGACTAAATAAAACAAAATGCTTTTAGCAAACTATTTGGCATATTTTTGGCTGCATGCATTAATACAGGATCCCATGTTTGTTAACTAAACACACAGATCAGGAGGTCCCCTGTGATGACCGTGAAAAAAAAAAAAAGTAAGCTCTTGAAGGATCTAATCACACGGCCAGAGAACCAACACAGTAATTGCTGAAGACCCAGCAGTGACCCAACGTCAGTTATATTATAGACTTCAAAGAGCTGGAGTAAGATGTTAAGAGATCTTAAAAGAGATTCAAGGAAAAAAGCAATCTCAGCTAATCATTTCAAGCGTGCCCAATCTGATGAGGAGGAGAGTCAGTCAAGTGTGAATATGTCTAGTCTGAAATACAACAGCCGCCCTTGTTTGTTGGAGTGCCATCAGACAGGGTTCTGACCTCAAGTTGATGTAAGGTTGTCGGCTGCAGTCCCAGGTACTGATGGCTGAAAAGTTGGACATGACATTTTTGTAGTGCGCTTGTAAAGTTACATTGAAAAAAATCTTGCACGGGGCAGGAAGTACGAATTAAATCATGGGGAAACCATATTTATATGCACGCAGAAAAAAATGTTCTGGTATTTATTGGTGAATTTGACTCGTTTTCACCTTTAGATATGATTAGATTAGATTAGCATTAGATAAGTTTTATACTGCTGACACAAAGACTGGATCATGTTTTATCTTATTTTTGCCTTACTGACCTTACTTACTATATTATTATATATTGGGAGTGGTGGTGCAGAGGTTAGAGAAGGTGGGCCTGTGATCAGAAGGTCGCCGGTTCAAGCCCTGTTACCAACATCAAAAATGTGGGTGGGGTAGGTGAAGCACCCATACCTGCCCCCACTCTCATTTGCCCCACTATAGGCCCATGAGCTAGGCTATTAACCCCATCTGCTCCCTAAACAGGTCTCTCTTGAAAATGAGTTCTCGTGGCTCAATGAGACTACCTGTATAAATAAAGAATAAATGAAAAAAAAAAATAATAATAATAATTTTATTATATATAAATCCTACAGTGACAATAAAGATTTGATTCAATTACCACCAACAAATTATGCAAAACAGTCCAGGCAAAAGGAACTAGTCGAGATGCAGTCACCGTCTATAACAGCTTTTTTAATGGATTTATATTTGTAATATTTACAATTGAGCTGTCTTAATATTACAATATAAAAAAAAAAAAATCTTAGATTTCTACCAATGTACCACATGTCAAACTCAAGGCTTGGGGGCCAAATATGGCCCTCGTTGACATCTTATCTGGGCCCCAAGTTGACATGTGAAACATAAAATACTTTTATCACTTCAATTTTTTTCAGTAATCTTTGATTATGATATTGAAAGCACCACAGAAAATGTCAAATGAGACCAGTCCAACTCTTGCTGAGGACCAGATGGCCAAGAAAATTGACCCTTAGTTTGTAAAAGGTTTTAATTTTGGCACCCTTTTGTAAGTGAGTTATTTATATTGCTGTTGCTCATATTTTTCCCTAATAGATTTCTGACTAGAGCTTAAATATTATAGTTTTAAGTAGGGATGCAGGATATTATCGGCATGGTATCGGCCGATATTAGCGATAAAGTTAAATTTCGGACATTGGCCATTCCATCAAAAAACTCACTGATATAAAAGGATTCTGTTTTAAGTTCATTTTTAATTTAAGAAACCATCAAGTATATCTATCAATGCACTACTACTTATGCACTTGTCGCTTGTGAACAGGTTAAGTTTGGATTTGTGAAAATTTACAAATTTGCACTGTTCGAGTGTTGTTATTGTGTTAGAGAGAGTAAATGTCATGAATAAATTTGACATTAAACATAATCCAAAATGAAGCGTTAAATCATTTCCCGCCCCCTTTTTGGCATCTGCATTTGCTAGCAGGCCAAAATGACAAAGACCATACAGAATAATGTAGTATTTTTAAATTCCATAGCAGAGAAAGCTATGTAGTCTCCGTAAGTAAGTCTAGGAAACAAACATATTGATATTGGTATCAGATATCGGCCAAAAATCAGATATCGTGCAACCTTAGTTTTAGAAAAGCTAAGCTTTTGGGGACAAACGTCGAATGCCCCACTTCTTGGAAGATAATACATGTAAGAGACAAGGGAGACAATATCAAGCATTCCTTATTTACCCACCTTGCTGAAGTACTTTGCCAAAGTATTTATTGTGGCTGGTGCAGTTCCAGCGCCGGTACCTGAACTGGTACTGGCACTCCCTGACGCCAAGCCGTGCCCCTTTGGCCACTTCACTGATAATCTCTGGCTGGGTCTGGCACAGCTCAGCCTGCTTCCCCACCAGACGCTTCGCCTTCCTGCAGATGCTGTTGGGATCCATGACCAGAGGACTGCCCACTGCCCTGCGAAAAGGTTAAACCATGTTAGAGGAGAGATGGATATCTGGGCAACACAAAACAGATGAGCTTTTTGATTAGCAACGACTTGCCAGAACAAAAACCTACTGAAATCAGTAGCTGCCTCCATTTTTTTTTTTTTTCCAGCTTTAGGTCTGCCAGCTTAACCCACCAGATGTGACGACAATGTGCTTCTTGAATGGACTCGTGGGAGACAACAGTGCACAGTTTCCCAGAGGCACATCTCAGCTCTGACATCAGATTACATTCTGTCGCTGGGCTGCACTTGGAAGAGATGTGTGGTCTTCACAAATGCAGAAGTCACACTGTTGGACACGTCTCAACAGAAAAGCCATTTACAGTTTATCTTAAAGCTACTCGAGCTGATTTCAGTATAGCAGGAAGCAGACTTTCTAGATTTCCAGATGATACCGAATCAGAACGTCACCACTTAAAACCACACGTATCCCTCAAATAAACCCACCTTACAACTCCCCAGACTGAACTCTTCTATAAGAAAAGTAGGTGTATTATATTACATAAAAAAAAAACTCAAAGTGTGAGGCAAAATAAATCAGGTTTGCTTCATATAGTTTAAATATTTAAAATGTTCAAATATATATACATTTTTCATTTTCTAAATACAGCTCTGGACCTCCTAAACAGCTCTGACAGATGAGTGTATATAATATAGATAAATAGTTTATTCTAACTCTTAATGAGAAGAAGAGGTTTGGCTCTGCGTTGTGAGAGCGCTGCCAGGATCTGTGGCCTATTCTGTGGCACAGAGGCTTTACACGATGACTTTATTTCCATTTTTCTTCTTCCTTGACTTATCACCCACTCATCCTCGCTGCACTATGAACTAAATAAACATAAAATGACTTTTTAACAGTGCCTTGTTGTTACACTATTTGAATTCCTTTATGTAAGCAAGCGTCTTTAATAGTCGGACCGGGGAGGGGAAGAGAAAGTGAGGGTGAGAATGGGGCTAACTCGGTTTTTCATTCAGCCTCGTCCCTGTTAATCGCACCTCCTGATATCATTCATCTGCCTTGAGAGTTTGTTTTAAGAAGCAGAGCAAACACTCTCGCCTGTCCTCTCCCCTGGCGGTCTGATACGCTGCAAAAGATGTATGTCAGTGGGAGCATAAACAGACACACATGACTGTACACACACACACACACCTCCCACATAATAGAAAATACATTTTCATACTAATATGACAAGCTAACATGTCAGCACTTGATAGAATGAAAACACCCTTTATAGAAAAGCTTGTTCCAGTCTCGATGCCAAACGATAGTGTCATGGAAAACCAAGTCTGAGGCAAACAGCACACCAACACATCGGTGATAGACAGCAGAGGCTGCAGTTGTTGCAACTGGTTTTAGGATTAAATGCACCCACAGTTCTGCTTAATTAGTGGTGTAACTAATACTTAAATGTACTCATTGCTCAATATGAAATCAAACATAAAAACACCAACGTTCATGCTCAATAATCCAGGTAAAAAAAATCCAACAAAGTTCAGTCAGGTCATCTGGATATTTTCTTTTTTTTTATGTTGAAATGTTTCATCCTTCATCCAAAGGACTTCATC